AGCAGGGAGCCCGATGCGGGGCTCGATCCCAGGACCCTGGGACCATGACCTGAGCCGAAGGCAGAGGCTTAACGACTGAGCCACCCAGGCGCCCCTCCTCCATTGTACTTAAATTAAAATTCCTTCCCAAGGCCTCGGAGGCCAAACATTTTTCTCCCTGACCTCATTTCATGCCCTCGGCTCACTGTACTTCAGCCTTGCTGGCAGTTCCTTCTGTTACTTGAACCCACCAGGCTCGTTCTTAACTAAGGGCTTTGCGTTTGCTGTTTGGCTTGGCGTACACGTCAGTGAACTGTATCCTCAGTCAGGTTTCAGCTCAGATAACCTCTTCTAGGGAGCAGCTTCTATAACTGTCAGAATTGCCCCTAACCCTCACTGTTCATCCCTTTGCCCTGTTCTGTATTCTGCATCACTCTTTTTAAATTGAGATATAATTGACATATTTCAGGTGTGCAACATGACTTGTTAATTGTATCAATATATTGTGAAATGATCACAATAAGTCTAGTTAACATCCACCACCACATGGTTTTTTTCTTACGGTGAGAACTTTTAAAGGTTTTATTTTCGTTTATTTATTTGACAGAGAGAGAGAGTGAATGGGGGGAGGAACGAAGGGAGAAGGACAGGCAGACTCCGCCCTGAGCGCGGAGTCCAACTCGGCTAATCTCACAGCCCCGAGATCATGACCAGGGCGGAAATCCAGTCTGATGCCCAACCAATTTAGCCACCCAGACTGACAAGAACTTTTTTAAGATCTGTATTCTGCATCACTCTTAACACCTAAGGAAGTCAGCACAGTGCCTTTGTGCAATGAGCACTCACATGTTTATTAAATGTGCTAAGGAAGTATGTACCTTAGGTAGGTAAAACTGTCCAAATTCACACATTTAGTAAGTGGAGGAGCCATGATGTCTGGGCGTTGGTCCTTCTGATTCTGAAAACTTTAGACTGACCCACCACATTCTGCTACTTCTAAGTGGCATAATTGAATTTTCTACTCAGGGTGGATCCATTTGCATTTGGCCTGCTTTAGAAGCTGTCTAGGTCAGAAAGGAAAAGCCCCTTAAGTGCCTGTAATGCAGCTGCTGATATTTTATTTCCATTAGTGTGCTTGTGGACCTTGCTACATGAGACCCATCATTTCACCACCATCCACTTAGTGTTGACAGTAAGGAGCCCTGGTCTCTTTCAGCCTTCTGTGTTTATTCTGGAGCCTTTCAGTTGGTTTTGAGTGATTGGTCAAGGCACACTTTCCATCATTGGGAATTTGTGCACCAGTTAGTCATTACTCTTGGTTCTTGAAGATGTTACAGGATAGAAGCAGTTTAATCCTCTGACTCGGCTTAGCCCATATTTCTTTCTATTAGGTTAAACTGGCAGTTTCCTAGCTTCAGGGAGGTCAGTTTAAATTCTGACCTTTACCATGTATTATTAAATGTTCTTACTGAATTGGCACTATACACAGTATGAAAAATTCAGATAGTACAGAAGAGGTATGCAGATAAGTGTCTGTCCCTGATCTTGAACCTTACCCCACCATTTCCATTCTCCAGGCAACAACCAGTAACAGTGTCTCCCGTATCATTCCAAAGATAATTTATGGGTGCATAAGTAGGCATGTGTTACAATATATAAATGTCTGAATGCATTCTCTGAGTGTAGCAGTATTTTTGTCAAATCTTATTTCTCAGTAAGTATGTAGAATCTCAGAGTTGGAAGAGATCTTAAGTGCCTGGACTATACCTTTAGTCCTTGAATTTCCTTTATAAGTTTATTTACTTATTTATTTTTTAAGATTTTATTTACTTGACAGAGAGAGACACAGCGAGAGAGGGAACACAAGCAGGGGGAGTGGCAGAGGGAGAAGCAGGCTCTCCGCTCAACAAGGAGCCCGACGCGGGGCTCCATCCCAGGACCCTGGGATCATGACCCGAGCCGAAGGCAGACGCTTAACGACTGAGCCACCCAGGCGCCCCTAAATGAAATCTTTTTTTAAAAAATTGACATACCATTAGATTCATCCTTTTAAAGAATACATTTCTGTGGTTTTGAGTATATTCACAGTTGTACAGCCATCACCATATCTATTCCAAACATGTTCATTATCCCCAAAAGAAACCCCGCATCTATTAGTAAGCACCCCTAATCCCACTTCCTCCAGCCCCTGGCAACCAGTAATCTCTGGTACCTATTCTTGAGTATCCTTCATTTGTTGACAAATTAACTGTTTACAGAGTTGACTGTGACTGTTCTTTCATTTTAAGTGGCTATAGCTTTTACCTGTCAAAGAAAAACGTGTAAATTCCTCTTAATTTGGCAGGAGTCAGGGCAATGAGGGGGGAGTGGAATTGGAGATTAAAAATATGTTTCCCATTAAGAATGGTGGCCAACTTGGAGGCAGTTACAATGCTTGTGAGCAATGTTCAACATTAATGAAAAAGTTTTGAAACGTTGTTTTACTCTGTCCTCAAACCCCTGAGACTCAAGGAGATAAAAATTCTTTTAGTGTTAATAAATTTACTTTTGAGGCGCCTGGGTGGCTCAGTTGGTTGGTCATCTGCCTTCAGTTTGGGTCATGATCCTGGTCCTGGGATCGGGCCCCATGTTGGGCTTCCTGCTCGGCTGGGAGTCTGCTTCTCCCTCTCACCCTCCCTCTTGTGCTCTCTCTCAAATAAATAAATAAGAAATCTTTAAAAAATTTTTAAAAATGAAATTTACTTTTGTATGTAAAATTTAAAAAAAACTTTCATCAAATAAGGCTAATCCTCTTTCTATCCCACTTTATCTTATTGGCTTGTCCTATTCTATTCCCATTCTTCAGCTTTTTATATTCCCATTTGCAGTATTTGAAGAGTTTTCAGTTCCTTTGAAACTCTTTTTTTCAGCACTTTCCTAAAAATGTTTCAAAGCGGTGAGGTCTCACTTTTCCAGGTTCTTCAGCCCTTCTTTGGTAGTATTAATTAAATCATTGTTTCTCTCCTTTGTCTATATTATGCTAAAAATTGATGCTAATGTAAGAAAGTATGGATATATATCAAACTGTTAAATTAAGAGGGCTTTGGGGGGCGCCTGGGTGGCTCAGTTGGTTAAGTGTCCAACTCTGGATTTCAGCTCAGGTCATGATCTCATGGTGGTAAGATTGAGCCTTGCACTGGGCTCCATGCTGAGCATGGAACCTGCTTAAGATTCTCTCCCTCTCTTTCTCCCCAACCACTCCACTTGCACACGCTCTTGCACTCTCTCTCTCTTTAAAAAAAAATAAAGAGGGTTTGGGCTAAAGAAGGGAAGGAGAAGATGTATAACATTTCTCTTTGTATATCTGTGTATTATTGATTTTGATTTAGAGGTATCCTTACTTTTATAGTAAATAAAGGAGAAAAGCATATTAAAACAGTAATTTAAAGCAGTTGCCTGGATGTGTTGACCATATTAGCACAGAGTACAACTCTTATGCCTCTCATTTTAGGGACTAGCACTTAGGATACAATGACTTTTGTAAGCTGTCATTACACAAGGCTTTATGGTAGACTTATGTGGGTGGACACTAAGGAGGGTGTCTAACATTTCAAAATAACCCATGTAGGGGGTATATTTTCTTTGTTTTCTAGTGAGTTATTCTCCCCATCTCAGAAGTACCAGCTTTTGGTGTATCATGCAGATTCTCTCTTTCATGATAAGGAATATCGGAATGCTGTGAGTAAGTATACCATGGCGTTACAGCAGAAGAAAGCCCTAAGTAAAACTTCAAAAGTGAGACCTTCAACTGGTAATTCTGCATCTACTCCACAAAGTCAGGTAAATGGAGATGGAAGTGTGATTTTTTTTTTTTTTTTTTTTGTTGAGAGAGAGACTGAAGGAATTTACAAGACTGCTGATTAGATGTAGAAGATGGAAAAAATAAGTAATTTTAAAGGGGAGCTGACTGGAGAAACAAAAGATGAAAAATCACTTAGAGCAAGGATGCAAAATTCACTCTGGATGAACTAAATATGGAGTTAAACATGAATTATATGGGTTCATTGAAGTTCTGCATTGTTCCTCCCTTTTATACAAACAATTCAAAATCTAAAGTGTTTTTATAATTTTAATTAAAGTACAAATTTTAAAATGTAACTCAATTATTAGGATTGTGAGTACCTAGGGAAATTTATGGGAAATATTCTAAGAACTTCGGCAGTTTCAGTAGCTTGATAATTAAATAAATGAAGGGGAAAATTGTAATTTCACAGAGTCCTCCGATTTGACAGAGTCGTCCAGTTGCTAGAAATTACCCCTATTAGACTCGCAGGTTTACAGGGTATATCATATAACCAAGGCTGCTTATTGCAGCAATTTTAATGGTAAGAAACTAGAAGCAAAAGTTTTATCAGTAAGGTCTAGTTAAATTAGAGCATAGCCATAAGATGGAATGTGATGGAACTATTACTTCAATGAAAAATGAGATAGAGGTGCACATGCTGATTTGGAAAGAACTATATATATTAGTAAGGAAAATACGGTTTGAAGAAATGTTTCAATGCTTTCTGTTTAAAGGGGATAGTTTATAGATATATAAATATATCCTGGTATATGCCTAATATATATGTATACACACACACACACTGCTAATATGCATGAAAGATTTTGTGTGTTTGAAGGAAAGCAATTTAATGGTAGAAAGCTTTAGGGAGAGGGAAACTTTTACCTTGCAATTTGACCCTGTCTTTAAGTTTAAATTACATGTGCAACTTATATTTAAAAGGAATGTCAGTGGGGCACCTGGGTGGCTCAGAGCGTTAAGCGTCTGCCTTCAGCTCAGGTCATGATCCCAGGGTCCTGGGATCGAGCCCCGCATCGGGCTCCATGCTCTGCGGGAAGCCTGCTTCTCCCTTTTCCACTCCCCCTGCTTGTGTTCCCTCTCTCGCTGTGTCTCTCTCTGTCAAATAAATAAATAAAATCTTTAAAAAAAAAAAAAAGGAATGTCAGTAAAAATTAATAAATACATACATATGTACGTCCATACAATAGAAATGTCAGTAGAATGAGCTGGGAGTGAAATTATAAGTCATGTTTTTTCTACTTTGTATTTTTCCACATTTTGTAAAAAGACAAATTAGTTGCTCTTTTTTAAAGCCTCTTGATTTTCATCTTGTCTCTTTAAAACATTTGGGTTTTGTTGCTAAAGAGCTGATTGCCAGGATTTTCTTTGTTTTCTTTTTTTCTTTTATTTTTGTTTATTTTATTTTTAAGATTTATTTATTTGAGAGAGAGAGAGAAAGAGAGTCAGAGAGTCAGAGGGAGACAAGCAGACTCCCTGCTGAGCAGCAAGCCTGGTGCCGGGCTCTCTCCCAGGACCCTGAGGTCATGACCCGAGCCGAAATCAAGAGTCAGATGCTTAGCTGACTGAGCCACCCAGGTGCCCCTATTTTATTTTTTTAAAGTACTCTATATAGCCAGTGTGGGGCTCAAACTCACAACCCCAAGATCAAGAGTTGCATGCTCCACTGACTGAGCCAGCGAGGCACCCCAGGATTTTCTGTTTTCTGGCACTGAATGGAAGTCATGTATATTATCCACATAGGGTCATTCATAGAAGTAGCTAACTTTTTAGTATTCAGTATGCCAAGCACCATGCTAAACCTTTCATGTTAATTAAATACATTTAATTTTTAAGGAATTTTTTTGACCTCACATTAAAAAAAAATTTTTTTTTGAGTTTTTGTTTTAATTCCAGTTACCTACCATTACAGTGCCATATTATTTTCAGGTATACAATATAGTAATTCAACACTTGCATACATCACCCTGTGCTCATCATGACTAGTGCATTCCTTAATGCTCATCCCCTACTTAACCCCTCCCCTCACCTCCTTCCCCTCTGGTAACTATCAGTTCTCTATAATTAATCTTTAAGGAATTTTTCAAAAATTAAGATATAATGTCATAAAATTAACAATTCAGTAGGTTTTAGTATGTTCACAAAATTGCACAACTATCACCACTGTTGAATTCCAGAACATTTTTATCACCCTAGAAAATTCCCATGCCTGTTACCTCCTCAGCCTCTGGGAATCACTAACCCCTCTGTCTATGGATTTGCATGTTCTGGACATTTCATATGAATGGAATCATACAACATGTGACCTTTTGTGTCTGGCTTCTTTTACTTTAGCATAATTTTTTCAAGTTTGATCCATGTTATAGCATGAATCAGTTCTTTGTTCTTTCCTTTTTATTGCCACATAATATTCCATTGTATGGGAGTGCCTGGGTGGCTCAGTCAGTTATGCATCTGCCTTTGGCTCAGGTCATGATCTTAGGGTCCTGGGATCGAGCCTCGAGTCAGACTCCCTACTCAGTGGGGAGTCTGCTTCTTCCTTTCCCTCTGCCCCCTCCCCCCCATTCGTGCTCACTCTCTTGCTCTTGCAAATAAATAAATCTTAAAAAAAAATTCCATTGTATGGATATGCCATATTTTATGTATTCATTAGTTGACGGACATTACTTCCACTTTTTGTCTATCATTAATAATGTTGGTGTGGACATTTGCGTGCAGGTTTTTTGTTTTGTTTTTAAGTAGGCTCCATGACCTGAGCTGAAATCAAGAGTCGGATGCTTAACTGATTGAGCCACCCAGGCACCCCAACATTTGTGTGTAGGTTTTTGTGCAGACATTATGTTTTCAGTTCTCTTGGCTGTATGTGCGGGAGCAGAATTGCGGGCTCATATGGTAACTCTGTGTATAACATTTTAAAGAACTGCCATATTTTGAAGTAGTATTTTGAAGAAATGTCTTCATTGCCTCTTAGTGTCTTCCATCTGAAATTGAAGTGAAATACAAAATGGCTGAATGTTATACAATGCTAAAACAAGATAAAGATGCCATTGCTATACTTGATGGGATCCCTTCAAGACAAAGGACTCCCAAAGTAAGTTGAATTAACAGTTTGTTACATAATATTCATCTACCCGGTCCTTCCAACCCACTTCCTCCATGTTTTCTCCATGCCTTAGGGAGTCCATCTGAACATTTTACTCTTGACTCACTTTGTTCCCCTGTTAATGGAGTGGATGAGGTTCAGAGAGATAGAAGAATTACTTTCTTATGAAACCCTGAAAATTCAGCTGATGAAAATGATAGCTGGAGAATACTACAAGTGCTCATTCTTTGGTATTTCTTACCATAGGAAGTAATAATTTGCACATGCTTCCAGGTGGCAATGGTACTTTTTTTAGAACTCATGTTTTGCATGCTGTAGGCGCCCCCATTTGATAATGTGAATGAGCTTATTAATCCCTTTGTTTTAAAAATCCAAGATTACAAGATCTTTATGTACTTATTTGTATGTGGGATATATATTTGTGTTTGATTTGGCAACATATTATAATCAGTAGAACACCTTCAACTGAAATCAAGAGATCTGGTATCTTGTCTGAGTTTAGGGCATACAAGCTGTGTACTGTGTAGTGTGAACTTGAGCAAGTTACCAATCTGAACTTTACTTTTTTTTTTTTAATTTATAAAATGAGGTTAATAATACTTTGCTGACCTTTGGAAAAATAAGTAAGTTCATATGTGAAAGAATACTTTTTAAAATACTATTCTGTAAGGAGTATTATATTGGATATCTTTGATTACAGTTTGTTTTGAGTCTTAAAAGAACAATGAGAATCCTTGCTCTTAGTATTGAATTCACATCAGTAGTTAATATTCTAACATCTGCTCTCATGTCGCCTGCCTTCCTCACTTCATTGAAGAACCATTCGGTGCAACTTGTGCTTAACAATGAGGAATTTTATATGTAAGATGTCTGTGTACATTCTCCTGCCCTTAAAAGAAAAGGAATCTAAGCAGTGGTATATTTAGTGTTTTTTTCACCTAAGTGTTGCTGAGTTTTAAAAGTAACCAAAACTTGATGAGAATGTGTTTAAGCATCTCCTTATATTGAGGATTTATTTACTATTTTCTGAGTATGTTAAAAACTAAGTTCTTTCCTTAGTTTATTTTATGCTATTAAGAACATTTGGAAGCATATTATAGACTAACCTGTCTCAAAATAAGCTTGCATGCTTTATACTAAATTGTTTTCTGATACACTATGAAAGACTTATCCCAAGTATAATTTTTTTACATATGTGAAGAGTGTCTTCCTTTTGGAAGATGCCATTTTGATTATAAACTTGAATGATGCCTTTTCCTTATCTTATTGGAAATGTACCACAATTTCCTCAATGACTTGAGGGTGGGGACATTTTTTGAAAATGAGTAATGGCAAATAAGCTCAGTTTGTGGTATCCAACGCTTTGGTGTTTAAAGCCATCATTTTAAGAGGGACTGGAGGAGTCCACATTTGTTAGGAGTACATATCCTTCATTCTGTAGAGCTGTTGTAGCCAGGAACAAACAAAGATGTGTGCCTCAAACATAAACCTATAATATTTACAGTTTTTCTTTCTTGTCCGTTAGGGAGTTAACTGGCTTCTCAGTCTGTGTAAAGGACAAGGAAGTGAGTCAAAATACGTCTAAATGAACGTCTGTTAATGTATGGTAAACACCACCACACATTTCTTCACATTTTAAAGGAAAATTCCAGTGTGAGATTATTATAACTTGGTAAATCTTCAACTTTCAAGAGTAAACATATCAACATAAAATTTCTCACTCAGTTTTAAGAAAAAGATGACTGCTTATGTTTCTAACTGGTGGAATATGGCTTTGTGATGTTCCCAAGTAAGGATCTGTTCTAAACAGAATTGACTTTCTCATAGGTAGTACCCAAAACTCATTCTTTTGAAGTGACAGGTAGTTTAAAGGGAATTTTTCTATTTGTTGAGACAGATGGTCTCTAGGTCATAGTTTGTTAATCACAAGCAGTCAAGAAAGGATCTTAAATTTAACCTTTTATTCTTTTCAAGTATTGACACTAATACTGGAGTTTTCCTTTAAGTATTTTCTTTTGCATTTTCAACATAGCCTAAAATGGAAAAGCTGAGGCCAAATAAAGTTTTATTTCTAGTATTTCATTATTTCATTATTTGAATCATCAGTATGGATTAATGCCATACTAGATTGTTTTATATACTGTAAGTCATAATTGGAACAGAGTTCTTCATCTTCAGAGCCCTCTTTTGAGTAAATATCTGGCGTACAGGCTACAAATAACCAAAGAGATTGGGGATTGGCTTTTTTTGTATATCCTCATGTTGACTGCTTCCGTAGGTTAATGATCTGGCAAACACTGCTATGTTTAAGATTTATTAATTTTAAATTGGAATGTTCTTTTTTTCTCTCTGTACTATTAAGATCATTTACTTTTCCTTGTAACTTCTACGTTCTTTGGAACTTTTAGGTTTTCCTAGATTTTCCTTGTTGTGTTTTAGAAAGGGTTATATTTTAAAAGAGCTCTACTGAGTTACAAATTTGAATTGTGCTAAAAATGCATTTACTGGATTTAAATGATGTAGCTAATCTCTGGATCATTGTACCTCCAGAGGTGAGTTAGAGTTTGATTTTTGTAGCATCACTTTGATGAGTCACATAGTACCTGTGGGTCCATGCTTTCAGTGTTGGAAAGGCTAGAGTCTAGCTGCCAGGATAATTGTCAGAGAGAATCCAAGTATTTAATTCTGTATCTGTCGTTTTCTTTTTGGGGAAAATTCATCTGCTCTTTCTTAACAAGCTATGTTAAGAATTCCTCATTTTCTTATGTCTTGATATTAATTGCATTTAAAATATGTAAACTTGAGCACTTCTAGGATAGTTCATCTTCTTTCTTAAGATCAAGAAAGAATCGAGGTAATTAGAATTCTGTAACATTTCTCAAATAAATATTACTCCCATTTCCAGAGACAGCATCTTTGGTCCAGATAGTACGGGACCTTTTGGTTGGGTAAGTGAGAGGAATTTGACTTTCCTCTTAGAAATGGAAGGATGTAGGAAGAGCGAAGGTAGTAATTTCTCTTTGGTTTGAAGAATGGGATTGGTCTTCATTTATTTCCACAGGGCTGTGGGTAGATTTTCCAGGAAAAAGTAGAATAGTAGCTGGTAATAAAAAATCAGGACTTAATTGGCGGTGAGATATTTTCTTTGCAATATGTGCATATCTTATTGTCTTTTGTTTTTGTTTATTACAGATAAACATGATGCTGGCGAACCTGTACAAGAAGGCTGGTCAGGAGCGCCCTTCAGTCACCAGCTATAAGGAAGTGCTGAGGCAGTGCCCGTTAGCCCTCGATGCCATACTAGGTACAGGTCATTCTCAGCCTATTTCTATGGATGTTTACTCTCTGAGATGGTAGTTCTCATTCTTAGCTGTACATTAGAATCTGTACATGCCAGGGCACCTGGCTGGCTCAGTTGGAAGAGCTTGCAACTCTTGATCTGAGGGCATGAGTTCAAGCCCCATGTTGAGTGTAGAGATTTACTAAAAAGGCAAATTAAAAAAAAAAAAAATTTGCCCCCGCCTAACTTCCAGAGAGTGATTCAGTAGATTACTGTTGTCATGTATTTTTCACAGATCAAGAAACATTAAATTATGGTTGTTTTGTCATCTGCATCTTGCTCAGAACAGCGAAAGGGTTACCTCGTTGCCAACAGAAAGAGTAGCCTAATGCTTCCTGCATTGTGGAAGAGGGATGCTATGCTTCACCTTATTTCTCCTGTTTTCTGTTGGATTAGGTTTGCTTTCCCTTTCTGTAAAAGGCGCAGAGGTGGCATCGATGACAATGAATGTGATCCAGACTGTGCCTAACTTGGATTGGCTCTCTGTGTGGATCAAAGCATATGCTTTTGTGCATACTGGTGACAACTCGAGAGCAATCAATACCATCTGGTGAGAGCCACAAAGTTAATTCAGTGTTCTTGAGGCCCTTTCCTTTATGGAGGTCTGGTGTGAAATAGAAATTAGCAAAATAGAAGTATGAGATGCTTATTTCTTGGTGTTGCAGCCTGTTGTCCTCAGGCTTGCTTTCGTCTCTTAATGTTTTTTGGTTTTTTTTTTAAAGATTTTATTTATTTGACAGCGAGAGACATGGTGAGAGAGGGAACACAAGCAGGGGGAGTGGGAGAGGGAGAAGCAGGCTTCCCGCAGAGCAGGGAGCCCGATGCGGGGCTTGATCCCAGGACCCTCAGACGCTTAACGAGTGAACCACCCAGGCGCCCCTAGTCTCTTAATGTACTTAATGGTCCTAAGGATAATATCTCTGCTGTGAGGACCTGTTAAATGTAAACTTTGACCGAGTTCAGCTCTGTATTTGCAAAAGTGGTAACCCTTGCACAGCCGGCTGTGTCAGTTGTCATGCTGGAACCTGGAAGAACATCTTTTTGGATGTCCTAGAAGCATAGATTGCAGCATCTGACTTGGGTTGCCTCTTTAGGACTGGGATTTTCTTTCTAGTCAATTGAAGTCCAAGGATAAGAGACTGGGTTTTGTGTTATGCAAAGTCACTTTTGAATGACATTACCTTTAGCACCATGTTGTCCTCTGAAAACCTGCAACCAGAAAGTTCTCAGTAATGAGAGAGAATTCTGCGTCATTCTGTATATTGACTTTCTTATTGTGTATAACTTTCTTTAAATCATAAGCTCAGAATAAGAAAATCTAGTGTATATGGTTTGTTTGAAAAGCTTATTATGAAAAATGTCGTATGTATGCAAGAAAATAGTGCTTATATGCCTGTCACCCAGATTCAGAAACTAAGAGGATTCATAATAAATCTTAAGGGTCAATGTTTAATATTTTGAAGTTCACTAGAGAAAAAGTCCTTATTGCGAGATAACGTGGACCTGCTGGGAAGCTTAGCAGATCTGTACTTCAGAGCTGGAGACAATAAAAACTCTGTCCTCAAGTTTGAACAGGCACAGATGTTGGATCCTTATTTGATAAAAGGTAAGTAATTCTTGAGGCATGGTGGAAGTGGCTGCAGAGGGGAGGATCAGAAAAGAAAGGGAGACAAAGTAGCATAATATTCTTTTTTTTTTTTTAAGATTTTATTTATTTATTTGACAGAGGGAGACACAGCGAGAGAGGGAACACAAGCAGGGGGAGTGGCAGAGGGAGAAGCAGGCTTCCCGCTAAGCAGGGAGCCCAATGCGGGGCTCGATCCCAGGACCCTGGAATCATGACCCGAGCCGAAGGCAGACGCTTAACGACTGAGCCACCCAGGCGCCCCAGTAGCATAATATTCTGATACCATTTTCATAGAAATACTTTGTGAAACTTGTTCTAGTAGCCTTTTACCATTTTTTACGTCTGATACATGTCTCTAACGCTTGAGTAATTCCATTTTGAGTAGTTGTTTTTGCTTGAATTCAAGTGTCATCTCCAGGCAGATCATTATTTGGCTTTTTTGGGGGGAAGGGTGATAGCCCTTCCTTATGATTTTTAAATTTCTGGTGTGCCTGACTGAGAATTTGGATGGCATCCCCAAAACCATAATATCCTTTTAGGGGATTTAGCTTTACTGTATCCTTAGTATACTTAAAAGGGAGTAAGTGAACAGGCATTAAGTAAGGAATGAGGTGACTAAAGGAAGTAATTAGGAATGAACAACAACAAAAAATCATTGATTTCAAAGACTGTAGCTGAAGGGGTGAGCCATAGGGACTTCCAAAGGATGAGTGTCCAGTGACCGGCAGTGAGTGATGGGTAGTAGGAAATAAAGTCTGACAGTCTGGAATCTGCTTATAAAGTCCCAGAAGAGGCCATCAGAAAAATATGGCCTTGTGACAGTAGTTAGTCCTGTAGACTCTTAAGCCATGAGAACTACAGAGCAGGGAGATGAGAGAACAGATCCAGAAAGATGAAATTGTTTGCCCAAGGTCTCCCTCCTGCCCAGTGCTTATTTCTCTTCTCTGAGTTTTGCCTGTGCCCATGATGAAAATGGTGTATTAGAAATACTAGTCTGGCAGTAGTTGGCAGCTTGGAGTTGAAAGCTCAGGCCCGAGTTTGGGGGCCAGCAGGGAGTATTGCAGTGATCTTGGCAAGAGAGACATTTTCCTGGGAGTCTGAAGGGGTAACAAGGAATGAAGGGGATGGTGGTAAGAGATGGATGACAGCAAGCATGGGACCCATTTTATAGAACACGAGTAAGAATAAGCAGGGAGCGGGGTGATCTTAAATCCGCTGGACTCCAAAAGAACTAGTTGCTTTTTCTGGAATAGGCTACTTTTTCTGAGACTAACCAGCATATTAAGTATGTACTCTGGACTGTGCCCAGGCTTCTTGAAGAAAAGAAATTACGTGATGCCTTTTTGGGCCTTTCCTGGTTATGAGTTAGGATAACTGTATATCATGTCACAGGACAAACAGTTCCCAAAAATAATTGGCTTTCAGACTGTGAGTTGTAGACCCTTCTACTCCTTTGCTTTTTAAACTTTTTGGATGTGTTTTGTCTTTTTAATAGTCATTTTTTTCGGGACACCTGGGTGGCTCAGTCGGTTAAACGTCTGCCTTCGGCTCAGGTCACGATCCCAGGGTCCTGGGATCAAGTCCCGTATTGGGCTTCTTGCTCAGGGGAGAGCCTGCTTCTCCCTCTGCCTGCCACTCCCCCTGCTGGTGCGCGCTCTCTCTGACAAATAAATAAAATCTTTTTTTAAAAAGTCATTTTTTTAATTTAAGATTTATCTATTTATTTTAGGGAGGGAGAGAGAGCTCATAAGCCATAGTGGGGGGAGGGGCAGAGGGAGAGAGAGAATCTCAAGCAGACTCCCCAATGAGCACAGAGCCTCATGGGGCTTGATCTCACCATCCTGAGATCATGATCCTGAGATCATGACCCAGGAAATCAAGAGTCAGACTCCCAACTGACTGAGTCACTCAGGTGCCCCTTTAATAGTCATATTGTAGGAAAGTGAGAATGCTGGTGGGAAGAGCTCATGCTGGTGGAAAGGGCTCAGACCATGCTGGAGCTGGGGCTTGAGTGGGGCTCTGATGAAGGCTGTTGCTCTTTAATAAAGGACACCTGCTGCTTTTTAAAAAAGCCTCTTCCTTTCCAGGAATGGATGTATATGGCTACCTCCTGGCAAGAGAAGGGCGGCTAGAGGATGTGGAGAACCTTGGCTGCCGCCTTTTCAATATTTCTGATCAGCATGCAGAACCCTGGGTGGTCTCTGGGTATGTTTATGCATTCTTTTTTTCTCTCCAGTTTTCAGTACACTCTTTGGGAAATTGTGGTTCCTCCCAAATAGCATACAGGTTGAAAACACAGGTTTAAGAGATAATCAGACTTAGAATTCAGATCAAGCTCTTTGACTTTGGACACATTAGTTAACTCACTGAGTCTTTTCTCAGACTTTCATGGGGTAGGTATCCACTGAGATAGTGCATCGTGCTCAGCACTGGAAGCCATCAGCAAACAGGCCAGAAGCTGCTGCTTTGTTACCATGGCTTTACAGATTTCTCTGAATATCTCTCACTTAATAACATATCCAGATATCAGGTTCTTTCCCATAACTTTTCCCTTCCATATCAATATTTCCCCTTCAAAATAAACGTTTAGATTTTTTTTTGTCGTTCCCCCCCCCACCCGCTAATATCTCAGGTAAAGCTGTAAGTTTGCTTTGTAATAAGGATCAGGTAGAGGTCCTTCTGTTTGGTTCTGAATGAAGTTTCTTTACCATTTTCTCTCAGGTAATGCATTGTTTTTTTTTCTCCAGGTGTCATAGCTTTTATAGCAAACGCTATTCTCGGGCCCTCTATTTAGGAGCCAAGGCCATTCAGCTGAATAGTAATAGTGTTCAAGCTTTGCTACTTAAGGGAGCAGCACTTAGAAACATGGGCAGAGTCCAAGAAGCAATAATCCACTTTCGGGAGGCTATACGGCTTGCACCTTGTCGCTTAGATTGTTATGAAGGTAAGATGAAAAATAGAGATGGATGGTGTGAATCTCTAGGTGTGTAGCATTAGCTCTCAGATGGAAGGTTTTAATTTTTGCTTTTTTGAGAGAGAGAGCATATGCGCTCACGAGTTATAGGGGGAAGAGGCAGAGGGAGATAGAGAATCTTAAGCAGGTTCCACACCCAGCATGGGGGCTTGATCTCACGACCCTGAGATTATGACCGGAGCCGAAATCAAGAGTTGGGATGCTTAACTTACTGAGCCACCCAGGCACCTCCAGATGGAAGGTTTTGTGAGGCCAGCAGTTCCCAAACTCTCTTGCATGTTAGAGTCCTCTGGGGGCATTTTTAAAAATCCTCATGCCAGGTCACTCCAATACTATCTAAATCAGAATATTGTGGTTGGGAGATAGACACCAGTATTTTTTTGAGGACCCCAGGTATTGCCAGTATGTGGACGAGTTTGGGAATCACTGCATTAGGCATTTAAAAAATCATTTATGGCTTTCACTGGACCTTCAGAATATATTTTTTTCACTCTCTTTTCCTGGTTTTTGGTGAGGGAGTAGTTGGGGATGGTCTTTTGTCCTATTTTTATTTCTCAAACATGGCCCACTCAATGTGAATCTGTGCTGGCACTGTGCTAGATCGCTTGGTTTTGTCTTTATTCTTTTTTAACAGTTGTTTTACCTTGGGTCAGAAATATTACTCAAGAGGGTAACTTCATATCCATAGGACAGTGTTGGTTGTGGGAACTAGTCAGTTCATTGTGACCTCCTGAGTGGGCATGATCAGGGTCAAACTTTGTTTTGTTACGTACTATTTTAAGTTCGTGTGAACTGACCCTAGGAGTTCAAAGGATGCGTGCCAGCTTCAGCAACATTTGGTGATTCAGTCACAGATGTTAAAATAGATCTTAAAAGATGCAGTTCCTCCAAAGCATATTTTTTAAGAATTTAAAAATAAACCCAGGAGTCTAAGAGTGACTTGCTCTTAACAGGAAGATGAGTTCAGATTTGAGAAAATTTGGAAGTTGGGGTAAAGAACAAATCTGCTTAGATAGAGAACTATGCATATTGTGGATTTGTTCTTAAAGTATCCCCAGCAAACCAAGATTTGGGTTCCAGATTAAATTTTTGATCCTGAAACTACCTACCTAGGCTCTCAGCTGCTTTTATCACACTAATTCCTTTCTGCTGCGTGCCTGTTTCACAGGAGCCCAGGATTGCAGTTGAATAATGAACTCCACAATGCTTGGGCAGACGATGGTTAGAGTCTTTGGGAGCAGAGGACCTTTCTCAGGCCAGTGAGGCTTCATGGGTTGCCTGCACTCAAGCTACCATTTGGAGTTTTGAAGTAGGGTAACTGATTATGCTCTCTGGTGCTTCTTGTAACCTCCATCTGAGCTTCCTTTATTGGCGGAGGCATTGGAGTAGTGAAGAACATTCTTTCCATTTCCTTCTGAAGTTCCAAGAGGGACTTTAGCAGGGAAATAAAACTGCTCAGTAAGTAGTTGCAAACAACTATATTCTGAATCCAGCACGTTGGCCTGAAGAGTTAGGTAATTTCTGGTTAAGTAACCATAGTGTGTGGTAGAATGTGCACAAATATTATAAATGCTGCTAGGGTGGAGGAGTGCATAGAGAAAATCTGCCAGGGATGCGTGGGTTTGGGGTTTAAGCTGTTTTTCTGTTTTGATGAGAGCTTTCTGTCAAAAAGTACTTCCTCTGTTCTCAAGTTCTTGGCAAGAAGAGTTGAGAGTTGTCTCTGCTTGAGGTGTCCCCATAGGGCATCTGGTGGGCATGGTAAGAGGCAGGAGCTGCCAGTCTCGGTGTATTTGGTCCATCTGACAAGCGTTTTCCACCTAGGTTAGGGAAACCCTCAGCAAATGTCTTTTGAGATAACTTTTATGTTTCAAATGAAAAGTTGTCCTTTCTTCTTAGGTTCCTCCGTAGGTCCATTACTAGAAATTACACTAAACTAGTAGTTTTGTAGAACCGCACATTCACTTGGAACTGTAAAGCTCTTCCACATAAGCCTAGGACTAAAGGTGACTGAATACAGCCAGAAATTAATAGCTCGTTAAGAGGCAGTGGAACCTTGCGCTTTGTTGTCAACGTCATCTCTATTTCAAGTAATGATTAAGGTCTTATTTATTCCTCTGACATTCAGCTGGGCTGCCTACCTGCTTCATTTTACTTATGCGTGTTTGTTTCCTTTGCTAACTAAAGGAGGCTTTGCAGTGCATGCAGCCTTTTTCTACATCCCTGAAGTGCCCTGGGGAAGAGCACTTCTTATTGCATCAACATACTCTCTAGTCTCATGTCATCAGAGTTTTCCCCTGGCCTGCCCTTTGTCTGAAGCTTTGAAGGTTTGCAGTTTGGAAGGCTGTCAGAGTGGAAGCATTGCTTAGAATAGTAATGTGGTTGAACTTTCTATTTTTTCAGGTCTCATTGAATGCTACTTGGCTTCTAACAGTATTCGTGAAGCAATGGTAATGGCTAACAACGTTTACAAAACTCTAGGAGCAAATGCACAGACCCTTACCCTTTTAGCCACTGTTTGTCTTGAAGACCCAGTGACACAGGAGAAAGCCAAAACTTTATTAGATAAAGCCCTGACCCAAAGGCCGGATTACATTAAGGCTGTGGTGAAAAAAGCAGAACTACTTAGTAAGTGTATCTTATTTACTTCCCTTTTGTTGTTAATTGTATAAAATCTGATCTCATTTGGAGTTCCTGGTCCCAGCTGGTTACAGATGACCAGACAGGTGTGTGCCTTTTGTAGTAGATTTGAGCCTATATGAATTGGTGTATATTTAGCACAACCAAATGTAGATGGCTTAGACCGGCTTGGATTGGCAGTGACTCACTTTTTGAGTGGCTCAAACCAGCTACACTTGGTTGGTACCTGTTCAGATCACTTTGATCTGGTTTTGGTTTTCCTGAACTAGTTTGGGCTGAATAGAACTGGTTTTAGCCAGCTTGAACTATTTCAACCCATCTTGATTTGCTTATGACTTTCCTTTTAGCTTTGGTTTTTTTAGTCCTGATTTATGGTGAAATCCTGGGATTGGGCTAGTTTGGCAAATGCATTTTGGCTTTTTATTTGAACTTAGGTTAAGAGTATAATTTAAAAAATTAGAACTCAAGCTCCACATTTCTTTTTTTTTTTTTTTTT